GGGGGGGGGGGGGAGAGAGAGAGAAAGAGAGAGAGAGTTGTCGAGTTCGAAAAAACTCGCTAGGCAAAGGAAGCGAGGATGGAAGAGAGGGAAGACGTGCGACAGAGAAAGCGAGATGGAGGAAAAAGCGAGCACGACTGGTATCGACATCTCAAAATTGCAACGCTCGACGTCCATTGTCACCTATTTCCGCCTCCTTCGACTTTCGCGATAGTACGTACCTATTTTCGACGGGAGAAAATCGAGCCTGGCTGCCCTCGTCGCGTCGCCGTCGCAAGCTGGGAGATCGAGGAGGTGGAGGATAGAATATCTTGTCCCTGTCGAACGTCCGGAGACAAGCTGAAATTGAAGTAATATACAGCCCTCGCCGCGGCGCGGGAAGGTGCGCCTTTAATACCCGCCCGGGAAGGATGTTCCGCCGCTGGCAAAAAATCGTTGACAGCATGCCGATAAAATACGTTTGCGGAGTTATTGCGTTACTTCGCGTTTCTCCACGTGCGTGTGCGCACGGCCAACCCTGCGACGAGTCGAAAGGATCCTTCATGTGTCGTGAGGATACGCCGTGAATGCTGCGCAGATTGTGCGTCGCCTCGTCTGCATTCGTCGTCGTCGTCCGGCGCTTTTGAAGGATGCAATCTACTTACTCCGCCAGATAGGCTCTCGTGATTGTCAAGGCAAGTGGGACAATCGACAATGGGAACTTTACGGCTCTTCTAATTACGTTAGTTAAGCAAACAGTACATATTGTATTGAAGTAATCATTAAATTCACGTTACAGAATAATGTAAATTTTTTATTGTGATTTGATGCAGCGACAAATTAACTAAGCGAAAAATCAATCGATTTCGACGGACGCAGTGGTCGTGCTACTTTTCGAGTGGAAAGAAATTTAGGGAGTAGAATAATGTACATTTTTTGTCATACTGACGCAGAGAAAAATTTACTAAAAGTTGCACATCGCGATTCTCATATTATTATTCCGCATGATATGTCGTTTTGAGCAAATTTTGATCATTTTATTCATGTTTCTTTATTTTATTATTCTATGTGACAAGTACGAGTCATGTATGAGAAACGCAATCTTTACAAATTAAGTTATTAAAGTTGTTGCTGAATTGATGTACACTTGTTCTCCCATCTGGATCGATGAATACGTCGAGAATTTAAAATAATCTCTCGAGGTATATACTTTTATATAGCGTGCAACTTTGTGCTCAAGTCTTTTCACAGGGGAAATACTTGAGAATAAACTCCGAAGAAATAAATTACGTTACTATAAGCGCGCGAATGTGGAACGCAAAGTGTCGCGAATTAATAAGCTTAATGGCTGAAATATTTTATCTGAGAATGGAAAGGGGAGAGGAGGAAGGACGGGACAGTCTGGTGCAATGAAGCAAACAAACTTGTTCGACTCTGAGGTATACAAGAATATTTTATTCGTCGAAAGTAACAAATATACAATTCTCTCAAATAAATCGTCGGTTTAAATCATGTCTGTCGTAATTAGCTCGTTTTTGTTTCTTTCTCTCGTTTTTATTTACGCGACCAGCTCGTTCGCGAGCGACGCGCGCCACACACGGCGGCTCACCGCGTCGTCATCGTCGTCGTAGTCGTCGTCGTCGTCGTCGTCGTCGTCGTCGTCGTCGTCGTCGTCGTCGTCGCATGTTCTTCTCCCGTGCACCGCGCTCTGTATTGTCGACACGTGTGAAAAAGGATAACGGCGTTATTCACGAAACTCTGATGCAACAACAACGGAAGTGTAGCGCCTTGCGAGAAACCGAGGTAATTTTGGCACGATTCTCAGAGGAAACGAAAGAATAACCCACCCGCGTGTGTGCAAGCCTCGTGCTCGTGTTCGATAACGATAATCGACTGAAAGTACATCGTCGCGTCGAGGTGTTCGCGCGCACGAACTTTATATACTCTTGGCTGTATGTGTGTGTATGTGTGTATGTGTGTGTGTGTTGTGTCCTGGCATATCTATATATATATATATTTATATATAATATATAACATATATATTTATATATAAACATCCATCTCTAAATGGATATATTTCCATCTGTGTATCTGCGCGCGTGTCTTTAGTACGTATTTACACGTATATCCATCTAAATGCACAGTCCCTAATTACGTCGTCACGATTATATACGGTTCTTCCATTCATTCTCTCCTGCTTCTCTCCGACCACGGACCACAACCCGCGCGCTCGCTCGCTCGCGCTCCTCCTTTCTCTCACGCTCCCTCGAACTGTCGGCTGAAGCGTTTCTCGGCTCGTGGTCCTTGACGCGCCCGGAGGATCACCTCTTGAGGGGGGATCTCCGGGCTTTCCGCTAACTCACGTTTATTTACAGAGTACCGACGCGTTTGTCGCGCACAATTAAGGCAGTGTTTCGATGAGTCCGTTTGGAGAACCGGGCGAGCCGTTCCCCGGCTCTTCCGCTCTCCACCCTCCGTCCTCCTCGTAAGCGCGCGCGCACGCACGCACGCACGCACGCACGCAGGCTCGCACTCATTCACTCACTTCGCCGATCGTCCCCCTGATACTCACTGATCGATCTCGAGTTCACCGGTCGCCGTTCGCGATCACCCACTGATTCACCCGCCGGTCGCCCGTCGCTCGAGTGGGCGTACGACGGTCAAGACTTTCACTCACCGTTGGAAACGTTTTCGAGATCCGGTTTACCGTTTGTTCAGAGCCACGGGCCGAGCTGCGCCTCCAGGATCGTGGCCGCGTCGGTCCTGCCCATAACTCTCAGGTGGTTCAGCAGATCCGTCACCGCCGTCGGCTCCCGGTGCCTCGCTTCCCACAGGTCCAAGATGTGCTCGGTCGGGCTGGCCTTGGTCGCGAAGTAATTGATGTACCTGTTAGCGAGACGAAGCCATCGACTGCGTGATTACCATGGAAATGGTGTCGACGGTAGAGTGGGAGGAGGAGGGGATTCGGTGTAAACGGCACGGAAAACTTTATTATGTATCCCGACTAGAAATTTATACCTTGATTCTGACCACACAAATTGATACTAATCAGTTATCTGATCTGTATATCCAAAACATATACTATTTTTAATATTGCGCTTACACTGAGGAAGAGATACTTGGAAATTTATTTGTGTGATACAAAATTTATTTCCGTGAAATAAAGTATACTTCTGAGAAATAAAATTTGTTTCTGTGAAATCAATTTTTGTCCTACAAATGAATTTTCAAGAATTTTTTTCTCAGTGTAGAATAGCTTGCTTTTAGTTTTAGAAGAATCCTTTTGAAGTCATGTATAAGAGGATTGCACTAAGAATGAGATTATATTTTTATGAATATGCAAGGTTTAAGGATATGTTATCAGGTTTTAATAATCCATAATTATTAGTAAGGTCCTGATTGCTACATGAGTCCGATTATCAGAGCCCAATAACATGACTTTACATGAACTAAATGAACTAATAACTAATTAATCAAATAACTCATTGCGATCAAGCTGATGAGGGATAAATTTCTAGTCGGGGCATTGAGAAAATTGGATGGAAAGAACTAAATCTCAGGGTTATGTGAAATCAGAAATCGAATTAGACCAGCATTCCAACGTGAGAATTTAACCCTTTTGATCCCACTTTTTTCTAATGAATTTGTTAAATAATATATTAGATCGGTTTGTTTCATTGAAATAAGTTTTGAACTTGTTCTAAAAGGGACTAAAAAAACACCAAAATTTTGCTGAAAGAAATAAGACAGTTAGTTTACCATGTACAACTTTAAAATTGAGCTCGTTATCGGCATTTTTGGGATTTATCGTTCACTTTAACATTCCCTTAAGAGACAGACATGCAGAGAACCGAATGATTCGTCATTCCCGAGGAATGATCCAATTTCACGTTATTAAACTGCAAACATCGATATTATCTCGATATAACTAGTTCGATATTATCTCGAGACACGCGACTCAAGTTGGCGAGTGTGCTTTGCGGGCCGCGTAAACACAGTGGTAATCGGAGAGCGATGAAGCGCTCCGTTTTGAATTAGGTTAGGTTTGAATTAGGTTCACGTGCGCGATGGGAAAGTGCTGTAGCGGGTTACCGACCTGTCGACCTGCAGCCTCTGCGCCAACATTCTCCAATCGTTGCCGAGAGCGTTCGGCGGATCCAGGCACTGGCAGAGCTGCTTCCTCAAGGATCTCGTAAACCGGAACGGTCGTAGAGTGGTGGAGTCGGTGGTGGCGTTATTGGCATGGCCGCTGCTGACCACGGTGACTTCCCTGAGCGGTCTCGTGACGCTACCCGAGGAGATGAGCTGCTTCGCGCCGTCGTAAACGATTCTGAAGACTTGTCTCGTGTCGGAGTTGCCTTGCGAGACTTGCAGTTTGTAGCTCCTCGTGGTGGTCGGGCCAAAGGCCGTGTCCAGGCCGAAGGTCACGTGCTTGGCGTTTTCTTGGCAGTTCCAGGCGTCCCGGAACGAGACTTCCTGGCGTTCCGTGGGCGACTTGCTCTGCCACTCGTTGCCGACCTCCTCGAGACTGACGCAGAGCGACTCGCCGTTGTCTTGGAACAGCAGCGTGCGCGGCTTATCCAACAGATAGCCCCGGATCTGCGACTCGCGGTCGACGATAGCTTTCATGGCAGCCTTCGTGTCCTCCACGGCGTATACCCGGACGCAGCACTGGCCGGCTTGGCTCGCGAAGAGCGCCAGTCGCAATCGCTTCGTGGCGATCGCGCTCTCGCAGCTCTGGCCGGCCAGCACGTAGCCGCGGAGCTGCTCAGTCACGATGAAAGCCTCCGCGTGATCCAATTGCGTGAACAACGGCGTGTTGATGGTCTCGTTGCCCAGGGTCAGCACCCGGCTCCATGTAATTGACGACTGGTGGTCTTTCGACGCGAGCGACGGCGAACTGTCGTCGACGTTAACGCCGTCGCACGCCCACACGCTCAGTTCCCAGGTCGCCGGGTGCAGCATCGCGCAGTGCTCGAACTGCAGGATCACAGGCTTGTTGAAGGTCGCGGACGACGGACCGCAGGTCACCACTGCCGATAACTGGGTTATCCCGTCTGCAGGCGTGAAAAACGGAATCGAGATTCGAGTGCTGCCGCAGCAGAAGCGGGGGAGAAAATCGGAGGCAGCGGCGGCGGCGACGAGTGTGTCGAACGATATCGCGGTTTGCGCAACTTAATGCCGTTATTGTACGCGCGTTATCGCGTTATCGTTCGCGCCGTAACGTTCTTGTTACCGACTCCGCCGCATTAAACGCGCCGCCCGACTCGTTAACGCGTATTGTTTCATGCGACCGAACACTTTGACGGCTCTGCTGTCACGCACGCGTGACCTCATCCCGCCGGCAACTGTCGTTTTGCAAAAGGATTTGCTGATAATGGCGATCGATAATTGCAATGTTACAGGGCGTAAACTATTGCGCGCCCACACTCCGAGAAAGAGACACGGTGGTGACAACTAAGGAAGAATTGCTGACAACGTATCAATCTCCTAAATCGTGCCTTATCAATTATTCTGTTATTATGTGATATGAACAACAACGATAAAAATGAGGAATGAATTAGCAATGAGAAACATAAACAAAAATGTCCAGATTATATTGTATTTTGTGCTGCAAATATTTTTTTAAAGAATCAGGTAATTTAGGAGGCCGATGCGATTTTGGCAACTCTTTCTTACGAGTACGAGTTTTGTATGTAGAATAAATGTATATAGTATAAGAAAACTATTTTTTGTTGTTATTACAACTAAAGCTGAATAGGGTTATGAGAATTATATAATTCCTATATAATGTTCTTTTACCTATTCTGTTTTAGTTGCAATAATTACGAAAAAATAATTCATTAAATTATATACATTATTTCTACATATAAAATATTTGTCACCTATATAGTTACCGTTATTTTATATTTTTCTCAGAGTGCACTGTTTAATTATATAACGAATTATATATTGTTTTAAATTACATTTCATAATTTATATATATTTATACAGGGTGTCCCGCATAAGACGTCCAAGAAGAAAAATATAAGTAGAACAGATAAAAGTGAACAAATATTGTAAAGGTCATTTTTCAAACAACCACGTAAAATTTCGAGATATTAATTAAAATAGCTGGACTAATCAGAGCGCGGCGACGCGGCAGGCAGGACATACGGCTCGCCGCGGCCGGCGAAGAAAATGGACAATTGCTCGCGGGCCTATCTTATGGGCCAGAAAGGTGGGCCGTTTGGCATATTGAAATGGTAGCTCCGTGTGTGCGTCTGTGTACGTGTGCGCTCGTCCATTTTTTTTGCCGGCCGTGGCGAACCGTATGTCCCGCCTGCCGCGTCGCGCGCTCTGATATGTGCAACTATTTTAATTAATATCTCGAAATTTTACGTGGTTGTTTGAAAAATGATCTTTACAATATTTGTTCACTTTTGTCTGTTCTACTTACATTTTTCTTGTTGAATGTCTTATGCGGGACACCCTATATATTATTTTAATTGTATTTCATTTTTTTATACTTTAATTATATTTCTTTTACTTAGTGCTATTCTTTACAAAAATCAATGTAATAATTCTTTCTTAACGAAAATGTCGAGATGTTTTCAAGATAAAAGCGGGTCTTCTTGCAAACTAAGCTACAGGCTACTATATGTAAAACAAAATTATTTTTAACAACTAATTTTAACCTTAAGATAATAATTTTAATTCGAAGCCCAGCTACAAAGATATGTTATACCGAAAATTGAAAAATCGCCATAAATAACAGTTTCTCTCGGCACTTTCAACAAGGAAAAATAATAAAATTTTCGTAAAGAACAGTGTTGTGTGAGTAATAGGCGTAAGATAACTTACATCCTGTGTAAAAGTGGATCGACGGTTCTATGTACAAAAGGAACATGACCGTCTCTTTAGATACGGTCTAAGCGAGCTTTTGAAATTTGCCGGCGGCAGACAAGTATTTTTCCGCGATAAGTGCGCCCGTCAAAGTGTTATCATGTTCGCGTTTCTTCAACCAAACAAAATTCTCAAAGACCGCAAGTTCTGAATCGTCCTGAGTCTTCTCTTTACGAAGAAAATACTAAGAATATCGTTCGTATATTAAATATGGTTGCCATAAGAAAATATTAATGTTTCTTTTCATTCATGCATACAAGATAGTTGAGGTAACCATAGTACTCTGGAAGTGATACACTAGTCTTCTTTGTCGCTTGTCTATAGAGGATACCAGGTCTGGTTGTCACATTTTATACATACTGATTAAAAAAAAATGTATAAAATATTTTTTAATATTATGCATATTTTCATATAGATACAATCTTTAAGTAAAAGAAAAAATATTATCTTTATATATAAATTTATAGACTAAAGAGTTGTAAGCAAAGTCGTGCAAATGTGACTATCCATTTTATAACACCAGGATTTTTTAGATACGTTACGTGTTTTTTCATGCAAAGGAAGTAAGATTATATTTCTATTTTATTCTAAAATTTTTAATGTTTTATTAAAGTTGGTGATAATCAGATATAATAAACATTGAACTAAGAAGATAATAATTTTCATAAACTTTGAAACTTAAAAGTAACTTTAAGTAGGATTTTACGCAGCTCACTGTTGTGACATATGTAATATAATATATCATTGCGTATGTTTCCATGCTTTAGCGTGAGCTACGTGATGGACTTGCAACGCATGATAACTAATTTTATTTAATTTCAGACATTTTAACTCGAACGGTCGTTTAGGGAATAAAAGAGATTATAATTTTAAATTATGTTACAGTAACTGTTAACTGCAAAAAAAACTAGCCAAACCTGTAACAATTACAGAGATATTACGACCAGAAATCCCAAAACTAACGGAAAATCAATAAAAAAATCTACTCATCGCATCCAATTTTGAAAAAATGCTTATAAAAACCACATGCGATGTTTCTGTCATTTCGTACACCCCAAACTGTCATGATACAAGCAATCTATGCTATAGAGAAGAATACGCTTCTCCATTTATTACGTGAGATATAAGTTTTGTGACAATTGACTTCTAGACCTGGTTTTCCCTACGTGTTTGAGCGGTACTCTAAGTGATATGTAACCAAATCCTATGGATTCTCAACCACAGTGTTTGTTCTGCAGACCACAATAGAAAAATAACAATGTTCCTTCAGTTGAGGTTACTATATATGAGAATGTGCAAACAAAACATTATGTATCATAAAAACTGTGGCTGTGAGAATAACATGCACGGAATACGTTAATACAACTCAATTTTCTGTTAATTAAGGACCAGGTGGAATGCTCGGTTGTAGGAATAGAAACATTCCTGTAGGAGATTTCTATTCAGCCAATTGCCCTCAGTTTTCTCAAGTAAGTTTTAATGCAGCTGAATATTCAGACGAACGTTTTCGTTCACACTAATAGAGATATTATTTCTCGTCAGCGAGTTTTTCGTCTGGTCCCCATTCAGTTACCCGGAAACCCCTTTTTCCATGTAGACGAGCGTATAACGACAGTGATCTTGCTTTAATGCCATCTATTTCAACTTGAAATCACACACAAATGTTTCCCTCTAACCATGAAGTATATGGATGTAGCAACCATAGCAGTTTTCTCGCGCGACTTTACACCCCGGAGAACAACCAGGGGAGAAACGGTCGGCATTGGCCGGTCCCTCATATCGAGCACACATCGGAAACCCACGGCGATACAATCCGAGGCACGTGCGGAACGGCGTCGATATAAAAATAACATCTCGCGCGCGCCACGAGACGCCTCTCGCGCGCGCAGCTGCGCTCGTAAAACTCTCGTCGGAGCGGCGTCTGCTTCCCGCGGCGTGCCGCGGTGTGTATACACCGCGGCGGTATGAATAATTCGCACTCACCAGGTAATCGCGGCCTGTAACGATCCTCGTTGAGCACCGCCAGATAGAGCTCCTCCCTGAGCGGCTTGGGAACTGCTCCCTCGGGTACTGACATCGAGATACCGGAGTCCGGTAAGACCAGCAGGGCGCCGCGCGTGTTGACCGCCGCCCTCGCCACGTTCCCGGCCTCGAGCTTCGGCAGACGCACGCTCTCCGAAGCTACGTTGTACGTCGAGTCCGAGGACGGGTAGGAGCTAGTGACGCTGTTCTCGCTGTCGGAGTGGATCTGCTTGTCGCTGCAGGACTCCTGGGTCGAGGTGCTGGGCGTGGGTGACATCGGGGACGGCTGGGGCGCGATCGACAAGTGCGGCACGTCGTAGTGGTGCTCCGAGAGGGATCTCGACATCGACAGCTTCGGGTCGAAAGGATACTCGTAGCAGGCCGGCACGCTCGTCGCCGTCACGTCCGGCTGCAAGCTCAGCTTCTTGTCCTGGTCCGGGAAGAACTCCGGCTGGAATTCTGAAACGCACACGGCCGAGGCACGGCTCGTGGGTATCTCTGCGCGCTGCGGACAAACGCCGCCGAGATACTATTCCGACTTTTCTTTCACACCCGTGCTGTTGTCAGTCAACTTCGTCGCGCGATCAAAATCGCGCGCGTTTCGTGAGTTGGTTAGTTGGAGAGAGAAAATAGATAGAAGGTGAAAACGTGAGCTCTCACTTAATTTCAAGTATATATCTCATCATTATTTAATAATTATAATATTAAATTTTATAATTAAAGACGCATAATTTAAGGTTGGAAAGTAACGTTAATTGTGACTTTAGAAGTTACTTTTTTTTTCTATAATGACTTGATAATGACGTAATTTTTTTCCATTAGTAAAGTAATGCAATTAGACACTTTTTGGGTAATGTTAATGAATGTAATCTTGTTATTTTTATTGTTTTTTTGTAATAGATAGCGAATTATAAAAAAGATTTTCAAAACTAAATGAAAAGAAGTCACGGAAATTGTAATGACTCGTTATTTCTCGAGCATCAATGACGGTAATGAGTTAGTTTTCAGACCGAGTAACGATAACGAGTTATTTTAAAGTGATTTTCCTAACCCGGTGGAATTGACGTTTTGCTTTAGTTTGACATTCAAGCTGACGCACCCGCGCACATTTGTTATTTCCGATTTTCGATGGATTAAAACGACGAGCACTTTAATCAATCTCGAAATAGTATCTTGCTGATTTGATGGAAAAATATACGCGACCAAGAGATGGTTCGTTTAGAGATGGTATCGCTTATCAATATCGAACGTTGAAAATGTCGGGAGCGGGAAAATGCCGGTCTTCTTCTCGCATTTAACTAAATCAACATCAATTGATAAAATTCTTAAAGAGAGAATGAATTTTCGAAAAAGAACGGCAGTTCTGGTTTCGCGACTGGATTAAAAGCGTTTTACCTCTGAAATGCTTACCATTACGAGCCATGGAATACAAGGAGTGATCGCGGCCTTTACGTCGCAGGAGTTTGACCAGAAAGAACGCCAGGCTGACGATTACCACACAGGCAACCGTCAGACCGACATACAGGGCCACGTCCATTTGACGATTCTCTGCAAAAATCATAAACATCGCAAATTTTCACATGGAAAAGACGTACTCTTGAATCGGTAGAATTGGTCCACAGCATCGTACCTAGAAAACAAATCTTCTTGATTCAATAGCGATATTATTGTGATTAATGCTCGAGTTATGACAATAATGTGTGATGAACTTCAGTTTTACTGTGAACTGGCAGTAACTTTACTAGTCGATTTGTAAAGATTATGTTCCTTATAAGCAGTGTTGGGTATTAATCGACCGAAATTCTCTCTGACTATAATAATCAGCAAATTAATAATAAAAATTAATTGTCATATGTGTAATTATAAATAATTTAATCGATTGATGAAATTAAATGTTAATCATTGCATAATCAATTAAAGTCCGATTAATAATTTCATCAATCGATAAGATTATATATGATTTTATATATGATGATTGATTAATTTTGATTATTAATTAATTAATTAGTGTGATTATTATTTATTGTATTATTTATATAATAATTACATAATATAATATATACAATAAATAATTATAATATATATATATATATAATAATAATTATTTGTAAAATTTTATTATTAATTTGATTATTTTAGCCAAAGAAAATTTTTATTAGTCGATTAGTCCAATTTTGCTTATAAATAGTTCATACAAGAAAAAAAATATTTGAAACAAGAGAAAAAATATTTGAAAAATAAAAAATGTTTATTGTAAAATAAATTACTTAAAAAATTAAAAAATGTGTATACTAATAATGTGTTTACATAAATCTCAATTCTTTTGTTTGGTAAAAAGTAACGGTTTTAGAAAAATTTGTATTTTCTGATTTAAACAAATTTCTTTCAAATTTAAACAATTGCCTCATGTTGCGATAGTCACGAAAGTCCTGTCTGAGTTGTTATTGAATCAAGGAAATTTATTTTAATCATGACGTTGTTGTCTAATTAATTTATCAGCATGTTTTCTTTTCGCGTGCACGCCTCTCGTTGATTTTATGTGAAATTTATATGAACCAAAAATGATAATATCTCATTTCCATGTAAGAATACTAAAAATTTAACATTCTATACCAAATATACTATATAAGTAAGACATATTATATAAGTAAAACTATTGAAGTCACACATTACGACTTGTAGTAAACTAAATAAATAAAATATACTATATAGTTACTACATAAATAAAAATATTCAAGACACTACAATTTGTAGTAAAGATTGCAGCGTGAGTAAAATTAAAAAAGGAATACATACTATTACATTGCGACGCTTATCCTCTCCACGAGAGTGAGGTCATGTCGCGCGAGATCTCGTGCGCGAGCCGAAGTTTCCGCGTTTCGTGTTCAAGTAACCGGACGATACGACGCTTATTACCGTAAACGGGTAACAAAAACCGCGGGGCAATTTTCGTTACGTACCGCCACCGTAAAAGTCCTCCCGACCGCGCAGCCGTTTCCTCATGAATACTTAACGTCGTAAGTTTTATTTACTTTTTTACGCGAGGGACTTCTTCCGCCGCAACAAAGAAGCCCGAGAGTGTCGTGGGCAGCGTTAAACGCTCCCGCGCCGCTAAATATTACGAGCGCGTCGTCGCGCGGAGAAGTTTTAAGGTTCCTCTCTCTCTCTCTCTCTCTCTCTCTCCCATTTACGTCGGCGACACGCTCGTTTCGCCTCGCGAGTGAGCGCGCGCCTCTCGTTTTTCTCGGCGCGTCACTTTATCGCTTTACAGCATCGCGTTATTTCGTACGGTCGTAAAGATTCCCGATCGTTATTATCGTTGCCGTTAATGGCCGCGCGATAAAAGCGCCGCGACGCGAGCGCAATAATCATTTCGAGTCGTCGAATCTGTCCAAGCGCGAGAGGAAGTAAGGGATGCGCACGTGTTGACGAAAATCACGGTGTGGGAAAGGATCGTGCCGCGCGATGTGACGGAAACGAGATGGTATTTGGCGGAGAATGCGAAGTATACACTGTGAAAATATTGCAGTAGAAACCACAGCAAGATTTTGTAATCCTAAACCATACAGAAATAATGACCAAAATTAGTATATATTGCTTTTTTTAATGTTATGCACGTTGGAATCTTTACTACAAAGTTATTGTAGTTACTTGAATATTTTTATTTATATAGGATATTTGGTATAGAATATCATATTTGTAGTTTTTCTATATAGAGATATGATATTATAGTTTTTTCTTTTTATAAATTCTCCACATTTTTGCTGTTTCTGGTAGTGCAAAAACAGACTGTCAATACACTGAGAGAAAAAATCTGAAAAATTTAATAGCCAATCTGGTAAATTTAATAGCAAATCTCAACTCTTACATTAAAAGAGAACATATCTCAGAAATAGTAAATATTTGTTCGATGGGTACAGATAACATATTTAATTATATTAATATAAAATATTTTTCAAGTATGAAAGTACACATTTTCTTAAAACCTCAAGAAAATCTTAGCTTTTCACGAAAGCCATGATTTAAATAAATATTATTTTCATAAAATAATGTTTAGGGATTTATGTAAATATGTTATAGTATTTACACATAAATATTTAAAACCTTAGCTTTTCACGAAAACAATGGTTTAAGTAATAAATAAATATGATTTTAAAAAGAATTTAGAGATTTATGTAAATATGTTATTAATATTCACTACATAAACATTTACTATTTTGTAGATAGTTTCTCTCTCAGTGTAAAACATAAATAGCATATATGAAATGAAAGAATAATAAATTACTGCAGAATGTCGATTTATTTCTTGGTTACAAAATTTTCTAGTTTTTTTTCTGAAAATCTCCCCATACCTATTGTAGTAATTTATACCACCATGTCGGTATAGTGCTTTATGGAAAGCCTTGTGAAACGAAATATAATTTTAAAGCAATTTTTACTGCAATATTTTCCCCGTGTATGAAATTACACGAAAGAATATTGCCGACGGTCCTCCTCGATGAGGAAGATCACACGAGGCGAGGACGCGATTACGCAAATATGAATTCACCGCGCGGTGCTTTACGATCCCCCTCATCCTTTCCTCTCCCCCCCCCCCCCCCCC